CCCCCCCCCCTCCTCCACCTCTTCCCACCCCACTGTGTCACATCACGTAAAAACTCTTTGCGCACCTTCCATGGAGAGACTGGAGTGTTGTGACCAGTGCATAGTTTACATCGTTCATGACTGTATTTATGCACTTTTTGTCATCGTGTGAGGTTTCGGTTTTCGGTTTCAGAGTGTGGAAGTAACACCTTCATCTTCTCTTTTTTTTTTTTCTTCCCCACTCTCCATTCCTTAATCTTATTCTGCTGCTGTACACATCCCACTCGCTGTCTCTCTGTCTGTTAGTAAACCATTTATCTGCTCTGTGGTGCAGTTTCACGCTTGACCTGTCAGTTGATATTTGCTCATTCTTCTTTCCTCAAACTTTCTGCGTTTCAGCCCACCTGTGTGGAAACGGAGTCTGTGTAATCGGTTTCTCCTCTCTCCCTTGATTCTCAGGGCTTCTGCTTTCTCTCTTGACTTTTTCACTTCCTCTAACTTTCTGCCCACATGTGTTTGTGTCTTACAGGCCTCATGTAGATGTGAAGAAACTTGGCAGGAACACCAAATTGGTAGCAGAGGCACTGGCCAGGGTCATTTATAACCTCACTGAAAAGGTAAACGCACAGATGGAGAAAATGTATCGACACTAGACTTTCCACCTGCTTTCTGACTGTGTTTTGACCTTTTTGTTGTTCCTGTACTACCCAGGGGGCCCCTGGAGACCTGCAGATCTTCACAGAACAAATGGTGAGTCACTAAATTCAGCTGCTCTTAGTCTTCTTGAGTCTGATCCGCCTTTTAAAACCAACATTTGCAGGTACTGCAGTTGAGCTGAAGTTTAAGATTAAACATTTAAATGCATTGTAGGAACTGGAATGAAGCGGTAGTCATCCATCCCTAGGGATCGCTACCAACAGCTCAAGTCTCATCTTACTTATCACTGAAATATTAAGACTATTTGCCAAGGTTTGGTGCTGCAGTACTTGATCGTCCTTCATCTGTTGTTTGTTTCTGTGATACAAGTGAAATCCTCTCAGGTCTGGTTACATTTAACTGAAATATATTATTATATTTATGACAAAATTAGTCTAAAATCAACTAATGAAGCTCTTATGCAGGCAAAATGGTAACAGATCTCTAAAAGAAGATCAGTAGCAACTTTTGGCCCCTATTTCTTGCTGTTTTTATCTGGACAGAATTTGTTTTGACATTTTGATTATTTAGTATTTTATTAATAGTACCCCTTTTTTAAATTAATAGTTAAGGTAATCTACAAGCTGAAAGCTCCCATGTTACTATAAACAAACAGGTATTGCTTTATGTAATAATTGTTCCCAATATTCAGTTTCCTACCTTACTGTCCATCACAGACTCTTAGGTTGTAGTGCTGTACTGTACGCCTGTTGTTGTAATGTTTCCGTCTCTCGGGACGTCAGCAGGTTCAGGAGGAGCAGCTTTCAGCGGTGGTGGACTGGCTCACGGCGCAGCCACGAGCTGCTCAGCTGGTAGACAAAGACAGCAGCGTGGTGTCCACTCTGGAGTATCACCTCGGACACTACCTCAAGGATGTCAAGAGACACTATGTCAAAGCTGACAAAAGGTAAAGAAAAGATCAAAGTACAGTTTTATTATGAAACCAAATGTGAGTGACAGCAGTTCTCTGGATATCATTGAGTTAAACCAGTTGTTGTTTTTGGCGTCAACATTATGTTCTGAACTCTCGTCCTCAGGGATCCAGAGTTTGTATTCTACGACCAGCTGAAACAGACTATGAATGCTTACAGGTTTGTGTTCATGAGCTCCTCTGTAGCGGTGCTTTAGAGCAGTTAATACAGACGTCAGTAAAAGATACAATCCAAAGATTAAAAACAACCATTGCATAATGTCAGAGATCATTTTTTGACTGTTTCTCCTTCACTCCTCTTCTCTCTCTCTAACTCTGTCTCTCCCTGGTGACTCTCTCTACCACTCAGAGTGAAGCCAGCTATTTTTGACTTGTTGCTGGCCGTCTGCATTGCAGCCTACTTAGGGATGATGTATCTGGCTATCCAGGTAAGTCACTGTTCATGCAGTAATGACATGCAGCACAAAGGGTTCCTGGAAAATCTGGAAATTTAAAGACTAGATTCCCAGTTATGGAAACACCTGGAAATTGATTAAAATGACCAAATATCCTGGAAATAATCTATGTTGTGCTGAAACATGTTGCACTGTACTTTAGCCCCTCACTCAGATGTCCTACATAACCTTTAGTGCATATTTAGTTTGAAACTTAACAGTTTGTAGCTGCGCAGTATGACACTTCTAAGTGGGTTAACCAGATGTGAAGTGTTACAGAAAAATGTGTAAAACGCTCCCTTTCACTACATTAATGTTTAAAGCAGCTTTAACAGTTGTTTTACAATAACAATGTGACACCATCACAGTTTCCACATTGTTGTTTGGACAACGTGGAAACAGTGTGATGGTGTAAAAGTGACGAACCTACAGAGAAGCATTGTCCGTGCTCAGGTTGTTTGTTAATTAAGGCCTCACAGACAATGATTAATACATGACTGATGCAACCTTTCTAACTGAATGCTCCTTCTCACTCACCAGTGAGCATTGTGTGAGCATTGTAACACGCCTTAGTAACCTTTTCTTAACTGAGACTTGTGTTTGAAAGCCTGAGAACCGTTACTGTCATTGATAGATGATACCAGTGTTGTTCCATGTCTGGAATAGGCCTGTTTGTGTTCAGATGTTTTGTAGTTCTTCTTGTCTGAAAACACGAAATGAACACCGTCTCATGTCTTGTGGTCCTTTTGTTCTTACAGAACTTCGGAGTCCTGTACAGTGTTGTCCGCAGAATCACCCAACCCAAGACGAAGGCCCACTAAAGGCGCACAACACCATTTTTATTATTTTTTTTCCAGATCCCACCGTTTTTCTCAAATCAAGAAACTTTAGCCAGTAAGAACACAGAAGCTGGGCCGAGCTGCTGTTCTCATGATGGTTTTCAAACCAGCAGAATCACTTTCATCTCCTTCATCCTGATCCACAAACTATGATGTCAGATCCTGTCCTGCTGCCAACTTTAATCCATTTGGTCTCATGGACCAGAATAATCAGGAATCATTTTTTCCACTCTCCCTGTCTTCAGGAACACAGATGTCTTTGTCATTTATTAATGATAATCCCTTTTGTTGGAAATCTTTCATTATAATTTGATTCTTGTGAGGTAGGTAAAGCATTTGTCCACACCTCTCGAGCTCTAGATGAGATTAAGTGAGAGTTTGTGATGTTGCTGTACCGCCAATCGCTCCTCATCCCTACGCTCCCGTATACTGTACGAATGATCATGCTGCCAAACCGACGTCGTGTGTTGTCTCAGGCAGCTACAGGGAGAAACTGACCACACAGAGTTTAGCCCAGACCTTTTCTTTTGTTCAGAGATGTGTTCACCCACCTTGTTGTTAAAGGATAGGCTCGTATTTGTTCAATCTGCGTTCATATAATACCCTTGAATTCTTTCTCTCCACGCTTACCGCTAAGTCCACAGACCTTGTTCTGTGCAGAAATCCCCCCTAACGTTCAGCTGAAGACGGTGAGGCTCCAGCAGCCTCCACATTTTGGTTCCCTGTTTGCTGAAAATATTTAGCATCAGAACGATGCCACTTGGTAACTCTACGTTTTAGCTTCAGGTGAACTTAAGAATGAATTTTGTCTTCCATCCCCCTGGGGTCAAAACCAAGTATTTTCATTATTGACTGATCTGTTTATTAGTTTTCCAATTAATCTATCGATTGCTTTGACTATTAAATGTCAAAATGGTGAAAAATGCACATCACAGGCCTTTAAATAGCGTTTTCTGTCAGACCAACAGTCCAAAAGACCAAAATATAAAACAATATAAAACTAAATGATAAATTACTTCATTGATTAATTGACCATCAAAATATTGGGTGATATATTTTCTGCTATGTTTCTATGGAGACGAGGAATGATCACAGTGAACAATAACTTATACGAGTATTGTGATGAGACGGATGTGAAAAAAATCAGACCTTATCCTTTAAACGCTCAGTGAAACTGACTCCCCTAACACAAATAATGTTTACGAATGAGACGAGTTGTCTAAATAAAATGTGAAGTAGTGTTTAGATAATCCTGATTCCATTGCCTTGTTGTGAACTTATTAAAGAAACATTCATTTGAATAGGAAAAACAATCCTTGCCAAATAATTGTGTTTTTAATCTCCCCCTTTCTTCCATTTAATATATTTCGGTATAGAGATTTAAAACAGACTTCACCTTTTTTTTTGAAGTTTTCCTTCTCGCCTTTTTTTGTAGTCGAAGTTTGTTTTCTGTTGCCGTGGGAACTGGTGTGTCTTATTTTTACTGCTCAAGTCTTTTTCTTTCCTAAATCCTGAATGGATTATGCTGGTGAAGTAAACTCACCTTAAAGCTTGTGTTAAGAAAGGTCATAAGCAACAAACATTTTTTTTCCCCCTTCTGTCTAATCAGAGCATGTGTGTGTGTTGAGTGCGTAAGAGGACAACGTACAACAAATCATGATAAAACTCCCCGTACTCCTGTTTTTATCAGCAGAAAACGTGCTGAATCTGACCTTTTGCTGACTGTAGCAATAATGTGATTTGACTTAATCAGACATTTTTTAAAAGCCTTTCGGTCAAGCCAGCACTGCAGTATTTATACACTGGATGTCTTAAAATTGGGCAATAACACAAAGGGTGTTGGATCAAAGGGGCAAAATATCTCCAAACACACCTAGAATATTAACGTTATGACATGTTGGCGTGTGTAAAACTAATGCAGTGTTTCCTTGACCTTTTATCTGCCCTGGTCTTGCCTTGTTGTGGGTGAATGGTGTTTATTTGCTGTTTTGTATGTTTTCCATGTTACTGCATGACCTCTGACCCACCATCGCCATGGTAACATGAATTTTTATTTACCAACAAGAGGGAAATAGTGTGTGGTACATATAATTTTTTTATTTTTATTTATTGAAAGTTATTTTTAATTTGTGCACTGAAACAAACTCTCCTCTGGTCTGAACTCTGTTTCACCTCATCCACAACACTTGATCTTTGCAATGAAAATATCAGTTGTGATTAAAAAATAAATTAAAAGAAATCACAAGGAACACATCTCTTTTTTTTTTTTTACTGACATGTTTTATTTTATGGGAAAAAAAATGAAACGTTAACATTGGCTGAATGGTATTAAAATTGCATTACAAAAGAGCAAGTACGCGTCTTTATCAAGTGGTCGAATTCAGTTTGAAAAAAACGGGGCAATTTGTATCTCTCACAGCAAGTATCAATGGTCCAAAAAAACATGTATCATTAAAATACACTTTAAATGAATACGTTTTAGTTACTGATTCTTCCCAGAAAGTCATAAAAATTCCCAAATTCTCCCTTCCCCTTTTCTAGTTTTGATCTACTAATGAACAATAAAAATAATACTAATAAATTACAGTGCAATTTATAAGAAATACCTGCAGGGCTCTCCTGCCCGTCGTTCTCTACTAGCTCTCCTCTTCGCTCGTCACCAGTTCCCACAAATACTTGCCTCATAATTTGGGTGGACATTTTGGCACAATCAAACCATTCGTGAGGATACTTTGTGTCATGGTGGAGCGAAGCCTACGGGCCAGTTCAGGCAGACGAGTCATATTCGGTACAAGCCTTTGAAGTACAGCAGCGCCGTCAAAGCTGCTCATCTCATCGTCTCTCCCTGATCTTTGTGCTAATCTTAATGTCTGCAAACGAGGAGTGACTAGGTCAGAGCCTACACACCAAAATACATCCTATGCTGTACTCGACACAAATTCCCTGTAGCCTTTGAAATATTCCTCTCAGTTTAGGAACACTGCTTCTTTTATCTGCACTTCTTGGATTTCTTTTGATCGCGATGTACGGGAACGGGGAGCGACGAGGTCAGAGCGTAGACTCCAAATATTCCTACTTCTCTACTCACTGCAACACATAAACCCACAACAGCCCTTCCCCGATAAGACAGCCTCGTCAATGCCGCTGCTATACTCATCGGTTTGCCAACGCAGCTTCATCATTTCATCGCCACTCCCGGAATCTTCTGCGTGCTGATCTCGGTGTACGCACGATGGGGAGTGACGAGGTCAGAGCCTGGACATCAAACATCACATCTGTACCTTCACATAATTCTGTTCCAGGTGAGTTGTCTGACTGAACCGAGCTTCACGTCCTTCCAACAACTTAAAAAAAACCCAAAGATGACCTGAAATGTAGGCCACGGTTGTATCAAGCATTTAAATAAGAATCAGCCAAATCCATACAAAAAGAAAAATGAACTGACAGCCTCAAAATGTTTTCCCTTCAATTTCAGATAGTTTCGTCCCTTGTGGGTTTGAGTTAGGGGTGGGCGACATGGATAAAATCCTCTCTGCCAATATACATTATTTAATATGATACAGATCTAGATCTGTTGAGCCTACTCTAGTGCACATCTGGAAGTTGCTGCAGCTGTTTTTGGGTAGTAAATACCTGAAAAGACACAGTACTTCAGATGCAAAAAATATATAAAATCCAATATTGCCATAAAATAGCTCATTGATTTACAATGCTCCCCCACAATGGCTGAACACACCCAGAGACGTTAAAAGGATACACACCACGGTATAAACAGTACAGTGAATTTAGATCGTCTGATGGTTCCATTTCTTCATATCGCCCACCCCTGGAAGTAGTTACTCGCTTACACGTCACAGGACTGTTGGTAGTGTGACACAGTGGGAGAGAGGGGGGTCCGACAGAGAGGTTGAGAGATTGAAGGTGGACGTTTTGCACACAGTACCATACCAGACTTTAGGGAAGCGTCACACCTAATCCAGATCACAGGTCTTTGTGGGCCTACTGCAAACTTCACTCCTGTCATCATATAACAAAAATATTAGCAAACTGGATAATCTAGTCTCACAGTTGAGCAGGAAGGACCTCTGAGCTCACTTTCCTCCATATCAGCATGCTAGTAAAACCAGTCAGCCACGGGACTCTGAACGTCTGATATATTACACAGTAACATGTTTTATAAACCGTGTTACTTACAGTACAGATGTATAATGACTACAGTAAAAATTAGTGCGAGCCAGCATTCAGATTAAAAAGGAAGAGAATCTGAGACTGAATCCAGATGTAGAAGAACAAAAACGACTCTCCCTGGTCCCTGGAAACATCTGATTTGAGCAGACTACCACCGACTCATACACAGCAGGAAAAAAAACAACACAACTGGAATACCAACAGTGCTCTCAGAGGAAAAACAACAACAAAAACAGCAGCAATTCAAAAAACAAATCAACAATAATATCCTGAACTACAGCAATAATAGTGATAGTTTAATGTAAAATTAAAAGTTAGTTTGAACTTCCCCCAAGTGTTGACTAGGGGATCGTGGAAGACCAACTAACAAGATCAACTAAAACAGACAGACGCTTCTCCTATGGACAGTCGACATCTGCGGCCTGCTCCAGCAGCACAAGCATGCTGTTCATCGAAACAAGAGCTTGAATTTGATCGAGACGGTAGGAAGAATAGAAACATCCCTTATTTTCCACAGGTGCAGCAGCTGTTTCCACTAACACACACACACAGAGACACACACAGTAAACCAGTGGGATCCAGGGAAGTGAAATAAGTCCCTTTGTAGTATAATTCAATGTGTTGGAATTACAGATGGCACCAAAAAAATCTTCCCGCATGTGGGATTTCTGAGACGAAATAGACTTTAATCTCATTTTTTCCCTTCATGAATGACTTGAGATGTATCTAAAATACCCACGTTTATGTGCCACATGGGGGGGGAGGTTATCACACTGGTTTGTTTGTTTGTCAGCCAACTTTATGTGTGTTCAGTGCTCACAGCTGCTTCAAAAAAGATCACTTTGAGGACATTAATAAAGACATTATGATTACATAGTTAGAGGATTTTTTTCGTCATTGTTTGTTTGTAAGACAATTTCATAGCATATTTCCAAAATCATTCAATGTCATGCATTCCTGAATACCATAATGTGTGCATACATAATGTTTTTTTTATCATACTGATTTTTATCTTTACACAAGTTCTGGGCTACTGTTCCAATTATCTGTGAACCCGATAGCCGCCACCACCCACAAACTGGTTATAAGTGTTATTCAAATTCATATTGTTTTAACAAATTAAATTATGAGGATGATACCCAAACCCAATCAATCAATTCTAGCTATTTGCTGTCATTAAACCAGCAATCAGCTTGTATGCCTTCATGTCAGTGCAGCAACAGATGCTTTGCAACACACAAAGACAAAAAAAATTACAAATAAAATAAAATAAAAGGTTTTTCTATATAAGAATGCCAAGTGAATATTTCTAATGCGTGTTGATCATCAGCACAAGAGATAACAGAAATCAGAGGTGAAATGTTGTGAAAAGAAGGATTTTGAGCTTAAAGTTCGGCTACATCCATACTCTCCGCATCCTGAAACACTTAACACGCGCACATACCGACACACGCCAAAGTGGCTTTTCAATTCAACCTAATGGACGCAGGGAGAGCAGCCAGAGCTGTGTGGTCGCCACCACTAACTTGTGCAATGATATGAAAATCAATACATGTGGTGAAACAGCACCAGACAAAATGCCAGGAAGGCTCTCCTGCATCTCTGCAGCCATGAGAACGATACTGACAACAACGCAGAGGTTCCGATTTTAATCTTTTTTTATCTTTTTCCTTTTTTTTTTGCCTTTTTCTCTTCATGTGTGGAGTCAGAGAGGATGGACGGAGATTGAAGAGAGTGAAGGGGGAAAGGAATTCATTGGGAAACATATTTCACTGACGGCAAACACAGCTCACCCTTATTGTTTACTAAAGGTTAACTGTAGGTCTAAATGTATACAGAACCACTACAGGCCTAAACCTTTTTCTTGTCTGCGGCGCTGTTCAGGGTGATGTTTTGATTATGACACCCTGTACTACTGTATGTGACAAACCCAGTCCAACTCTCACTCAAACTGGTTTGTTTCTACTGAATCTATCTAAAAAAAAAAAAGTCACCTGAAATAAAATTCACAGTGCTCTAATAAAAACAAAATGACAGTGATTAAATGAAATGCTCTAAAACAAATAAAAAGAGTAAAAACTCATTGTGGCCTAAATCGCTATTTTCCTTCTTCTTTTTGTGACACTCTTCCCTTGAGCCACGTTTTGAGCGTGAGCCGTCCGAGGAGGGCATCTCGTCTTGCTTGTACTTGTAGCCTAGTGCCAGGTGGTGGCGATGGAGAGCCTGTTATAGATGCTTGTCCTTGGTGATCCCGTTCTGCACGTGCTTCCTGCGGAGAGAGAGGAGCGAGAGAAAGAGAGAGTCAGGGAGAGGGGAAGGAGCCTCAGTCAGGACGGGAACGAGCAGAAGAGAATGAGCATGTCAGGTGAGGTGATCAGCAGATGTGAGGCATTAGCAGGCAGAGAGGATATCAGCACGGTTCAAGGCCGGGCAGATAAGGAGTGCCACATAATCACATCTCCATATGGTCCCAGGCTCTTTGATCCTATCTACTTGTGAAGGCCGCTGGTTACACAAGGTCAGTGGGAGTTCTGCTCTTTCTGCATCTACACCTGCCTTCATGAGAGGAGACGGCGTCAGTGGGGATAAATTCTTGTGTTCTGCTTGAGTTATCAAATCCTAGACAGCGTCAGCTTTTTTTTCTGTGAATATTGTAAACTAACAGAAGAAGCGAGAGAGACGTCGGGAGTTTCAGTGGTCAAAGGCTAACGTGATAATCCGCAGTAGAAGATAGAGGTACACATGACAGGAGGCTAAAGGCACCTCCTCAGATAAAGACAGAGGGATCCATAACTTCAGATAAAGGCACAGATATCCTTCGGTTTTAGTCAGTTTAGCATTTTCTGGTTTAAAGCTCACTATTGAGCTACTCATTTTGCACATTAGAAGTGACCACTATTACACAATACAATGGCTTCTCTGGAAATATATAAAAGCTCCTCAGATTAAAACTAAATATTTGTAAATGTCGGTATTATTCTACTCATATATCATATATATAGATATATATACTCTTATAATAATTATTATATTAAGTGCTAGGATGGGTTAGGGAAGGATA